GGTTTTTCTTCTGTCTTGAGAAAGTCTCGCTGTGAACCCCACGTTTCCGTCTTAGCCTCTTGGATGGCAGGACTGACTGCTGGTGTGCAACACCATACCCAGTACAGGGTTTTGAATTTTGATGATGACTTTTAAAAAATATTTTTCCTGTTCTGTGATCCCATTTCTAAAAAGCTTTTACTTCATAGAATGAAAACTTGTATAAAATATTTACTTTTGTCTATTTTTATAGTAAGCTGCTTTCATAGTTAGTATCTTTTATTGTTAGTGTTCTATATGTCTGATTGCTATCTTTGAAATGCCTTACCACATTTATGGCTGTATGCTAGTATTGGAGCTTTGCAAGTTATTTACGTTACTATAAAGTTAGTTTCCAGTGTGTCACATTTAACTGTTTCAATGGGTTTCATATCAGTTGACCTTATTGTTAGAGTTCTAGTTGACCTGTACTGTATTTTATGTAATTTGTGCCATCTATTATCAAGCCATGTACTATGCCATCTTTTATCAAGCCATGTACTACCTTGATACACTCGACCTTTAAGTATCTTTGATATGACGTCTGTGTAGATATGTTGATGTGAACAGAACTCTATGAAGTCTCACAGTGGAGCTGTGATAGGGGACAAACGGATGGGCAAAGACTAGTTTTGACATAGTCATAGGTTTTTTAAGATTTTTTTAAGATCACACAACATGTATGGTGTGATTTCTGTACCAAAGAGATGCTTATTTCCGTATGAGAGAAATACATATATATTCTGAAAATTGCAATTTAAAAATGTATAAAAATAAATGTATTACAAGTCAATTTCTGTTTCTTTGGTCATTATTTAAGACTGTATGAGGTAGTTCAACCATACAGAAAAGGTGAATCATTTAAATAATCCCCGTGTATTCCTACTATGCAGAGTTAATGTTTACATTTTATTTTTTTTAAATCTTTTTCAGTTAGCTGTCCCCCCTCAAAAGTTAGACTCCCTGGAACTTTGCTTTGCTACCTCTTACCCCATCCCCTTGTTTCTCTCCACAGCCGCTGCCATAGAAGTGAAGTGGTCATTTGTTTGTTAGTTTGTGATTATATGGTTTTAAATAATTGTTGATTTGTATCCCTCCTACCCCAAATTGTGCAGAGACTGAGCCCAGGGCCTTGTGTGTGCTTAGTAGACCCTCCTTAGACCCTCAATGTGTGTATTTATATTTTCCGTATGCACTGGCTAGTCTCATGCCAACCGGAAAGGAGGGAACCTCAATTGAGAAAATGCCTCCGTTAAGATCCATTGTAAGGCATTTTCTGAATTAGCAATTGATGGGGGAGGGCCCAGCACACTGTGGGTGGTGTCATCCCTGGGCTGGTGGTACTTGGTTCTATAAGAGAACAGGCTGAGCAAGCCAGTGAGCAGCACCCCTCCATGGCCTCTGTATCAGGTTTCTGCCCTGTTTGAGTTCCTGTCCTGATTTCCTTCGATAATGAACAGTGATATGGAAGTGTAAGCCAAATAAACACTTTCCTCCCCAGCCTGCTTTTTGGTTATGGTGTTTCATCGTCACAGCAATAGAAACCCTAACTAAGATATCATACTTACAGGTATTTTGTTTTTTTGAGACAAGGTCTTAAAATGATACCTAAAAGTGACCTTGAATTCCTACTGTGCCTCTACTTCCCAAGTGCTGGGATTAAAAATTATCCCCTTTCATGTATTTTTCTGCTTTATTTTGTGAGGAAGCTTGAGGAGAATCATTTTCTTAAAGACCTAAGATACTTTTTGACTTGGCAAGTAGCTTATTACAAACTTCAGAGGAAATTTTAGTATTCTCATTGATGGGAAGTGAGCCACGTATCAGGCATTGTGTTAGAACTTTGGAACATTATTTTCTAGAAACCCATCAGCTCCGAGGAAAGTGATGTCTGTTCACAGAGCAGGAAATGGAAGCTGAGATTAAAACAATTTCCCAGGGCTTTTAGAGATTGCTCAGTGGTTAAGAATACTTGCTGCTCTTGCAGAGGATGCAGATTTAGTTCCTAGCACCCCCATGATGGCTCTGGTTCCAGATGACCTAACACCCTCTTCTGGCCTCATTGGGCACTAGCAATGAATGTGGTCCACATACACACGCAAGGTGAACACTCTTACTCAGAAATCTTAAAACCCTCGATATCCTATGAGATGAGATTATTAATGCTTGTTTGTACTATACCTTGTTGCCCAGAGGCTTCCAGAGACGGTAGAGTTCAGGTCTGTCCTTGTCCTCTCCTCATGTGTGGTGGTGCGGTGGGTGCCTAGATAGTTGGTTCAATATTCTGGATTTTTTCAGTGAGAGTATGGATAAGGTTTAAGGGTCGTCCCTCCCCTTTTTGTGTGTATTCATGTGTGTACATGTGTGAAGCAGGGGTCAAACTTAGGGACTTGTGTATGTTACTCACTCCAGCTCTTGACATTAATCATTTTTGTTTCTTAAAATAGGGTCTCATGTATCCCAGGGTAGTTTCAAATTCTTCTAAGTATCTACAGATGGTCATGGACTCCTGATCCTGCTCTGTTTCCTAAGTGCTCATATGACAGGACTATACCAGACTGAGGTAAATTTCTAAAGATTAAGCAAATCATATTCAAGGTAAGATGTTAAACCTCATCCAAACAGAAGAAGGCCACCCTGTCAGCCTGCAGACTTGAACTGATACATCAGCTCTGTAGTCTTAAGGCTGCTGACCTCCAGAATTATATGAGTCAGTTCTTTGTAATTATCTCTTACATGTATATGTGTTTATACATGTATACACATACACATGTCTGTAGAGAACTCAATTATTACCTAAATGTAATGCTAATATCTCTATAACATCTAACACTCCCAACCCTGATGCTTTTTTGGGTTGGGGGGAGAACTTTAAAAACCTATGGTGATCAATTGATAGATTAGAACTGAAGATACAGACATGTTAGAAGGTTATCGAAAATATCCAAGTGAGACATGATGACCCAAACTAAGACACTGGGTGTTGGGACGAAGAGTAGATGGATCCCAGAAACCTTTATGAGGTAGGTAGAATCAAGAAAATTTACTGGCTTCATTCCACACCAGAACAGATGGAACCCAAAGCAATTCAGTTTTAGTGTTGTTGTTGGTGGTTGTGGTGGTGTGTGAATGTGGACTGCCCAGACCATTGCTATTTTGCCACCTCCCCCAGCCACCTAGGGCTCCTGCCTGCTTTTCATCACCGGGGCTGTCATCTTTCTCCAGCATTGGAGCTTTGTCTCCAAATGGGTAAATCTGGACTCTCCAGTCTTCCTGTCCACCTCCACCCATCTGTTGTGAAAATTCATGGAATCCCTGGCTTCGGTCTGTTCTTTTTCCCAGACCCACCAATTTCTGGGAAGCCCAGTTTGGTTTCAGACTCGTGGCTCTGACCACAGTTCTGAAAGGGAACCTGAAGATCACAGAGAAGCTTCTTTCTTTTTCTCCCGTTCATATACTCTGACTCACCAGACCTCAAAATGGGCACTGATATTGCAGGCCTGTAGATCCGTGCCCTGGCTGATTTCAGCAGCAGCCCCAGGCCTGAAAGAGCACCGTGGCAAATGCTTGAGGCCTGCACGTGAGGCCTGCACTTGAGGCCTGCACTTGAGGCCTGCACTTGAAGCCTGCACTTGAGGCCTGCATGTGAGGCCTGCACGTGAGGCCTGCACTTGAGGCCTGCTTTCTCATCTCCTTGCCACCTTCGGCCTGCTTTGCTGGGATGCTTGATGAACTGAGGTTAACCTTGGGGACATCCATGACAACCCTATTAATAACTGTCTTTACCCTCACATGCCTTCCCCCACAACCTCCTCTAACCTGCTCTATACGTAATTTGGCTCTTCCAGATATCCTTCAGGAAGTTGATCCAGTCAAGACCCTGAGTGTTAGTACTCCTTCCTCATGGTGATGGTTCTGTCTTTGAATCTACTTATTATGGCTCCCACTCTTCTCAGTAAACTTATATTTTGCTCATTTCTTCCAGAATTCAACAAATCCAACTCCAAAAGGTCTTACAGTGAGGAGAACCTTGTCTTTCTGACGTGTAAATTCAGATACAAGCCTCGAACCCAAAGACCACCTGCTGACTACCCACTACAAAACTGAAGACCTAACTCCCAAACACCCCAATCAGCCAGAAGTAGATAAGCGGATTTCATTAATCCATCCATAGCTTCCACCCACCTCCTTTCTATAAAAATCATCCCTCTGCTTCGTGTGTGTGTGTGTGTGTGTGTGTGTGTGTGTGTGTGTGTGTGTGTAGCTAGCTAGATGGGGGGGGCAGGAAATCCAGACTCTAGGCGGGGGAGAAACACACTCAGCCCCCTTGCTGAGGGGGCGTCGGTAGGGATGAAGGCAGCATGACTACTGTCACATTGCTTGGATAACAAGTCAACCAAGTCCCACTTCCCTGTACAGAGACCTAGTGATCCCTGTCACGTACACTCGATTCTTCTGCCTCGATGTGTAGCATGAGTCATGTATCCACTAAGCCTGCTTGCTAGTGCAAGATTTTTGTTGGCACACAAATCCTATCCTCTTCCCCAACTCCCTTCTCTGTCCCTTACTTAGTATTTCTTCCCTGCCATGGTTCCTTTTGTAGTTTCATTTCACATACGTGTGCATGCTTACACACACACACACACACACACACACACACACACACACACACACTCATATGAGAGAGAAAATACACTATTTGCCTTTTGAGTCTGGCTTATTTCATGTTACATATTCACAATGGAACTTTATTTAGTCATCAAGAGAAAGAAAATGACATTTTCAGAAAAATGAATATAATTGGAGATTTCCATGTTAACAAATAGAATGCAAACCAAACACAAAAGCAGTAGTATTTCTATATACCCACAATGAACTTGCTTCAATTCAAATGAAGTTTCTTATAGATATATAGGAAGGCTACTGAACTTTTTGTAAATATGTAAATTCCTTTTCTTTCAATGAACATCTAGGCTCTTTATTTTCCCCTTTCCCTTTTTTCTGTGAACAGTATTAACAATAAATATGGATGTATTTCTGTGTTATATTAACACAGAGTACTTTGGGTGTACACCTATGAATTGATTAACTAGGTCACATGGTAGTTCTATTTTTAGGAACACTATACAGAAAACATTGAAATCTAGAAGCTTTCTGGTGGAATCTTTAGGGACTTTGAAATGTAGGTTTGGGTTGTCTACAATAAGCATATATTAATTTCTCCTGGTCATATTTGTGTCCATTTTGTTTCTTTTTATACTTTCTCAAGCTAAGACTTTGAACAGTATATTGAATAGGAATTGTGTAAGTGGGCACTTGTAGGAAGCACAGCTTAAAGAAAGCATTGGAGGAACCAGAACTGTTAAACACACGGGCCTAATTTCTTCAAAGGAAGAAAATGACTGACGCTTGGTCACCCAGAAGGCTGGAGTGGATGTTGTCTTGACAATTTGGTGATATTTTTGCTATTCTATGAGGCCAGTCTTCCTGAACTCCCCCAAATCCTGAGCATTGTTTAGGCTCTAATCCTGAGCTTTGTCTCAGGGACTAGAACCCATCCTTATGAAAGAGGTCCCTGTACTTTGCATCCTCCACCAATAGAATCTATCCTTACACTTATCCCAGATCCTTCCCCCTTAGGCCCCAGTCAATAGAACTCATTGTGAGGGTCACAGGTGCTTTCCTACTTTGCTAGGGAGTCTCTATGTAGCTATGCCTCAGCTTTGTTGCGATAATCATCACATGCAAACCTCTTTCCAGCGTTTTACTGTGCTTCAATGTGTAAGGAACAATATATCACAAGGTCAGACTCTAGAAGTTTTGGCCCAGCACCTGCAAAATTGGTGCTGACTTGAGTTCCATTCTTCACCTCAGGCAGATGGTTTTCCTGCCACCAGTGACACTAGTGGGGTCCCCGGCAGGCACTCTTACCTCATTCCCTGCTTTAGAGGAAAGGCCTTCATTCCTGTCCCACTTAGCTCTAGCTTTGTTTTATATAACCTTTATCATGCTGGCATGTGTCCCGTCTAGTCTTGGTTTCTTTAGATCTTTTATCATGAAGGATGTTGAATTTGTCAAGGGCGTGTGTGTGTGTGTGTGTGTGTGTGTGTGTGTGTGTTGAAATAATCATATGAGACCTGTCATCTTCTACTTTTGTATCAGATTTATTGATTTCTGTGTATTGGACCAACAAACTTACATCCCTGGAGGAAACAAACTTGGTCATGGTGTGTGATTTTTCCCCATCTGTTTTTGACTTTGATTTGCTGGTGTTTACACCTATGTTTGCCAGGAAATTGATGAGTAGTTTTTACTCTTTTGTTGTGCTCTTCTATGGTTTTGATCAGGGCTGTGCTGGGTTCGTAGAGTGAGTTCGCCAGTGGTCCCTCACTTTCCATCAGAGGAACAGTTGGAGGAGCACTGGTGTTAGCTTTTCTTACAAGTTTTGTTTGCTGGTTGTGGATATGAGTTGTTCATAGCCTCTTGATTTAATTTGGCTAGATTACATGTGTCTTGTCACCCTTTTAAACAATCAGTTTGTTGAAACACGAAGGTTTGTTTCTGAACTCTGAATTGGATTTCACTGATTTAAACACCCCCATTCTTCCTTTTTTGGCTTACCCTTTGTTCTATTTCCTCGTGATGGCGCTCACTTAAAGCAAAGCCAAGAGAAAACTGGGTAGGGAGTGACAGAAAAATGCTGGTTCTGAGTGTATAACAAAGCTTGCCTACCTCCTTTATCTTTGTGTATGCATGTATGTGCATATGTGTGCACATACGTGTGTGGAAATCAGAGGCTGATGATGGGTGTCTTCCCAATAGCTCGTCAACAAGCCTTGGGGATCCTCCAGTCTCTGCCTCCACAGCACTAGGATTACAGGCATGCCCTAGCACACCTTCTTTTTGAAGTGTGGGTTCCAGGAATTCACACTCAGGTCCCCGTGCGTGTGCAGCAAGCACTTTAACAACTGAACCATAACCCAAGCTTTACTTTTGCACGTTAGAGGCAGGGTCTCTCTAGGTTGTTGAGGCTGGCCTTGAACTTGTGCTCCTTCCGCTTCTCCCTCTCTAATGTTAGGACTACAGGTTTGTCCACCACACCTGGCAGCAAAGCTTCCTTTTAATAAATACATTGCCTTGACTCTCAAGTATGGAGACTCCAAGAACAACACAGAGGATTCTCTAAACACAATGTTTCTGTTTTGCATACAGCCATATTTAAAAACATTTCTGTGTGTGTGTGTGTGTGTGTGTGTGTGTGTGTGTGTGTGTGTGTGATGTGCATATGCACACACACGTGCCATGTCACACAAGTGGAGGTCCGAGGACAGTTTTCCAGAGTCTATTCATTCCACCTTTACATGGGATCCAAATATTGAGCTCAGGCCAGCACACTTGTATAGTAATGAATTTTATCCACTGAGCGTCTCACTGGCTCCACACATTATATCTGACGCTGTCATCTTTGAGTATTCTAAAACCTTAGACCTTAATTTTAAAATGTCTATGGGTCTTATGTTTGCTGATAGGCACAACAGAGAAATCTAGGAGCTGTGGGTAGAATTTGTGTTGTTAGTAATTAAACACAATATATAGATTAAAACAGCTTTATATTGTGTGTGTCCAGCACTTTACCTCCATGCAGTGTGCATAAATGCATGCCAGAAATAGATTTCCCTTCGTTTCCTATGCAACTATGTATTCACACACATGCACACGTTGTCAGGATAGTTACTTCTCTTCGTATGAACATCAGCCACCTTTCCCCACCTTGTGTCACTCGAAGTGAACTTGTCTTAACCATAAGTCACACATTTTGTGGTATTTACTTCATATCAGCAAATCCCTCTAGAAGCACTTCACAGTATTCTCTGAGAATAAATGGTTTCCAGACAGAGCCAGCTAGGAATAAGAGTTGAGTCGAGATGACTGAGAGACTAGAGACAGATCACAGGGGTCTGTGAAAACTGCTGGCTTCATGAACTCAGTGGGCATCTCTTGCAAGGGCCACATTTCCACCCAGATGAATGACGGAGCATATGCCTTCTGAGTCCCTTTTCTGTCAATAGACCTTCTTTGCCTGTAGTTGTACCAGAGTTGATGGATCATTTCCTTGAACGGTCTGGTGGTCAAAGTATAGATAATCGGGTTCAAAGCACTGTTGATAGGTAGAATAAAAATCACCACCCAAGAAGTAATAGTTTCTGGAAGAGAAAAAAATGAAAAATCTGAGTGTTAATAGATGGTTTAAGGCATCTCTTGTATCTCCCGTCTTCAGCCGCCCTTTTCTTTGATGTGACATAATTAAACACCAAGTCTCTGGTATTTTCAGGATGTCTTTCTGTAGTGTCAGTGTTTAAAGGAATGCCAGTGCTGTGAAGGCTGGGGGCTCTTTCTGAATGGCTTCTCCTGAATACTTCAGCGTGCCAACAAAAGAACACTGTTGGTAGGATTTACACAAAGTCATGACATATCATTATGAATCCATTTAAAGGAAAACCATGCCATATCATTATGAATCCATTTAAAGGAAAACCATGCCATTTAGCATATATCCCCCTTTGCAAATGTTTTAATGAATAGGAAGTACATGTAGTATTTCTCAGAATATGTAGATTTATCTTGAATGAATTTCCTTTTTTGCTATTTATGTAGTTTTCTTCTGCTTTCCTTTGTGGCACTGCTTGGGATTGAACCTAGTGCTTTGTACATGCTAGGCAAGTGCCCAACTGCTCCCAGGCCTATTGATTTTATTTTAAGAATAGGCACACATTTTAGGGCTTGTACACATAGGCAGTGTGTGTGTGTGTGTGTGTGTGTGTGTGTATGCAAGTATATGTGCACATATGTGCTCATGCATGTGGAGGCCAGAGGTCAATGTCAGGTGTCTGTTCTGTTGTTCTCCACATTGTTTTTTGAGACAGGACCTCTCTGTGAACTCGCCTAGCAGGCTAAGCCAGCTGGCTAGTGAACTCCGGGGATTCCCTTGTCTTTGCCTCCTCCCAGCACTGGGATTACAGATGTACCACTCCACACTTCGCTATTTACGTAGTTTCTGGGGAACCTAAACTCCTGCTTGTGTGGCAAGCACCTTCTAAACTGAGCCATCTCCCCAGCCCGCAATGTTTTTAGGCTTTAAACCAAATATTTACCTCAGTGAAATGTCTTTGAGTAGCTAGTGGCACCGGCCCCACAGTCCAACTAATAAAGGGCTGAGACAAGAGGGTTTCAAGTACATGGCCATTCTGACCTATAGCATGAATGAGGCAACTTAACAAGACTGTGCCTCAAAATAAAAAGTGGGGGGAAAGGGGTAGGGCTATAAGTCGGTGGTAGAGTACTTGCCTAGTATTATGAGACCCTAGGTTCAATCCCTAGTACAAAGAGACAACCCCAAAACCTAAACTAAAGCAACATAAAAACAAAATCCCCAAACATATTTGACTAAATTTGTCTTTTGTTGAAGATTAATTTTAACTTGTGTTTGTTCTGTCAGTGTATACACCATATGTGGGGGTACCCAAGGAGTCAGAAGAGGTGTCAGATACCTGGGAGTTGGGGTTACAGGTACGCCTCCCTATGTGGGCACTGGGAACTGAACTCCTGTGCCCTGGAAGAACAGCAAATGCTCTTACTGCTGAGCTGGGCATCCCTACAACTCTCTAAACTTATCTTAAGAATCAGCTTTGCATGGAACTACCAAATACTCAGATTTTTGGTCTGATGTAATTGATGCTATTCTCTCTCTTATTCTTCTAACTTGTCAGATTCTGTTATCATCACCTGTGGGATCAAATAAAACTAACTTGTGCATATATAAATGTAAAAATGTGATTATACACTGCACTACCTATGCAGTCAGCAGGGGATACTTGCATATTTTTTGTGATAAAATATGCATGACATAAAATTTGCACTTTAACCTTTTTTCACATGTACAGTTCTGTGGCACTGAGTCCATCTACATTGTTGAGCATCCCTCACCACTGCCAGTCCCAAAGTGTTCTCATCTTCCCGTCATACCTCCCATCCTCCCCTTCTCCCCTTCCCAGCCCCTATGTTCTGTCTATGAATTTGGCGATTCCCGGAATCTTGTGTAAGATGGATCATAAAACACACCCACCTTTTGTGTCAGGGCTATTGACTCAACACAACACCTTCAAGACTCATGTAAAAAGCAGCACGTGCCGGAATTTCCTTCTAAGGGATGGTGAGAAGGCTCAGTGAGTCAAGGTTCTTACCACCAAGCCTGGCAACCTGAGTCTGATGCCCAGGATACTCTCGGTGAAAGGGGAGAGTTGACTCCAGCAGGTTGTCTCCTGACTTCCACATGTGTGCCATAATACAGGTGTGTGTGTGTACGTATGCAAACACACACACACACACACACACACACACACACACACACACACACACACACACGAAATAAATAAATGAAAAAAATGTTGAAAACTTCCTTTCTCTATAAACCTGAGTAATGATCCATGTGTACTTCTGAGGCACCCATGTATCTGTGGACACTCTGCTGCGGCTGCCTTTGGCTGTTGTGACTAATGTTTCTGCGAACACGGGTGTGCAGATATCTGCTTTAGTGTTGGCTTTCAGTTCTCTTGGACGTTTATCCAGAAGCAGAATGGCTGGATTGTATGGCAAGTCTATGTTTTGCAGTTGCTGACACACTTTCCCACAGGAGCTACACTGTGTTCAAATCTTGCTATCAGTGCACAGTGTCAAATTTCTCCACCTTACCAACGTGTTCATATTCATATTTTCTCTCCACGTAACAGCCACTGTGATGCATGCGGTGGGCATTATTTCAAAACCCTGTGTTGTTTTCTATTATGTCACGCTCTGGTGCAGTGGTCTCTATCATATGTATTGTAGGGAGGAACATTTCTTACGTTCCAAAAACAATGAACTCATGATTTGGCAACTACTTCAGCTTGTTTTTCTTCCTGGTCCTCTTAAGCAGGCAACCAATTTCAGCACTGCCTATCATTTATTTTGGTCATTGTTCTTTGCTTTTTGTGGCACTTAGCATTTATGGAAAGAACCGAACAGTTCCTATCAGGAAGCATTTCCTTGATGATGGAACCAGAGCCCACATTACTCTGACTAATAGTTCTTGAAACGAGTTAGTGTTAAGAGTGTAAGTTGTCTTTCTTAAAATAACACTGCACAGATCTCTTCTTTCTAGGAAAAGCATGTACCTGGTATTTCCACCTGAAGCAGTGAAAGAAATTTCAGAATGAAAATGGGAATCCAGCATAATGCATCAGTAAACACGATGAAGAAGAAGCGTTTGGCAAGGACCATCTCCCTCTTCACCTGCTTCTGTATTTCAGTCGCTGTTATGGTGCTCTGATGAACACTGTAAAACATGCTTCCGTAGGAGAACACAATGATGATGAACGCTACCAGGTTAATGCCTGTTTAGACCGTGAAGAACATTGTTAGTATATGTTAGCATTCTTTTAGGAAAAAGAGATAAAACATGCCCTAGACCTTACTATTAAAGACCACAGAGCCCATAAAGTGGTACTTATTTATTTATTCACATTGTGACAGGGCCTTACTGGGAAGTTCAAACTAGCCTTCAACTTGACTAGGTAGCCTAGGCTGGACACCAACTTACAGTCCTCCTGTCTCAGATTACAAATGTGTACCAGATCTTCCTGACTTCCAGTTCCAGTTTCATGGTCTCATCCCTATCACTCTTGCAGGCCACTCACAGGTCTGCCTCCATTCCCCAGGGACCCTGCTGAACCTCTGGACCCAGCCTTCCTCCCTCACCCCATCCCATTGTGTCAGCCATCAATGCCTGGAGGCACTCTCTACCTGGGAACATGCTGACCACTGAGAGTCAAGTAGGCAATCTTCACTCTCCTTCCTGTCCTTCAATTCCCATTCCCCAGTCTCATCTTCAGCTCTGCAGCAGACCCTGCAAGGGCCTGTCCTTCCTCTCTGATTCCACTCTCTGGAAACTCCATCAAACCTTGCAGCAGACCCAGCTTTCCTCCCTCTTGCAGACCCTTTCAGTCCCACCTCCCTTTCAGCCTGTTCCCATTTCTTCATGTCAACTCCCAATACCTAGAAATACATTCAACCTGGGACTCCCTGTGACCACACCTGGAAGGGACTCAAAAGCACTCCCTACCAGGTAACCCACAGCCTCCATACTCTCCTAAGACCCAGAGAGGGCAATAGAAACCAAGGACTGGAACACTCACCCATTAAAGACAAGACCTGATATCAACATCTAGAATCATAATCATCCCAAACCTAGGTGCCTGGATGCCAGTAAAAAAACATACACAATCATTAATAGCCAAGACAATATGTTTCCAGCAGAACCCAGTAACCCTACTCCAGTAGTCCCCGAAAAAGCCATATAGCTTCAGCACAAAACAAGGATTTCAAAATAGATGTTATGAATATGCTCAAGTACCTTAAAGAGGGTATGAATAAATTTACTAATGAAGTCTGTGAAAGCATAAGTAAACAATGGAATGAAGTGATGAAAATGGTTCTAGACATGAAAGTAGAAATAGAATCACTAAAGAAAAGTCAACTGAGGGAAAACTGGAAATTAAAAATTTAGGAAGTCAAACAAAAATCTCAGGAGCAAACCTCCCCAACAGAGTACAAGAGATGGAAGAGGAAATTTAGGGCGTTGAAGACAGGGTAAAAGAAATGAATGCCCCAGTCAAAGAAAATATTGAATCTAAAAAATTCAGTCACAGGGGGCTGGAGAGATGGCTCAGAGGTTAAGAGCACTGACTGCTCTTCCAGAGGTCCTGAGTTCAATTCCCAGCAACCACATGGTGGCTCACAACCATCT